ATGCGACTGAAGACGGTGGAGACGGGAGTGATCCGGTGGTGCTGGTGGGAGCCCAGCAGGCCGCAGAGGCCGCAGATGAGCTCCTGGTCCTTTTCGCAAAAGAGGCTGAGCGGGTTCCGGTGGTGCACGCAGACGTTAGGCTCCGGGTCCCCAGGAAGCCGCAGGGCTTCGATCACCCGCGCCAGGGACACGTTGGGCGGGGAGCTGCTGCCATCCACCTCCTGCCGGCACACTGGGCAACGCAGCTCAGAGTCCAGGTGGCAGGACAGGGACACCAGACAACCTTTGCAGTAGGAGTGGCCGCACTGCAGCATTAGGGGCTCCTTGAAGACCTCAAGGCAGATGGGGCACTGAAGTCGGTCCTCCAGCTCGGTCATGCTCACCTGCCACGCCGCCATCCACGGTGCAGGCTGTAACACAGGGCGACTTCCTGAGCCTGCCTCCAACCCCCTGGAAATGGCCTCTGGAAATTAGAGGGCCTTATAGACTCCAGTCCTGGATTCCAGTCCTGAATCCCTAAGATCTTGGGCCTGTTTCCCATCTTTAAAACAAAGGGCTTAAATGGGGGGTGGGGCGGAGTCGTTTCAAGATGTATGATTCTACATGTTTGGGTTTGTTTGTTTTTCTTGTAACTCGGGTTTGAAAGTAAATATGAAATGGAACCTCTGCAATGCGACTTGTGACACAAATAATGCAAGCTCCAGCCTCAGCAGGTGTCCTGACCTAGAACTGGACAGCAAAAACAAGCAAAGGTCCTGCCCACCTTCTACATAAGAGTTCGAATTGGCGAGCAGCTGTTGGAATCATAGTTACAGTAGAGGTTCCTGAGTCATCCCTTCACACATCTCCAGTGAGACCTGGAAATCTCCACTTACAATAGACACTCCCAGATCATGCTAAAGCAGAGAGTTGTTTTAGAACAAAATTGTTCTGAAAAGTCTGGGACTTAGGAGAGCCGTATCTTAATCTCTCACCCATCCCCCTTGAAAAACTGATTGCTTCTGAGAGAGGAGGAGCACTGAGCTGGAAGCACTGAGGTAGAAGGTGGCAGCAGACCCAGCAGGCCCCCAACATGGAAATACCTGGCTCCTCAGGATCCGCTGAGCCTCCCACCAAGGCCTCAGAACAGCATTACTGACCTGAGTGGCTTGGCTTCTTCTCCCCAGGATGGAACAGCGGGAGTGGAGACCTGGGGACTACAGCTGGGTGCCTTCTCACCACCTAATCTCACCCCCTTTCCTCCTCCCATTTCCCAGCAACACCTCCATATCCTCAAGGTCACCTGGAATCACGTGGAAACCGGACCACATCACAGGACCAGGGAGGCAGCCTCTGCTGGGCCAGCTCTGATAACAGTAACATTCAGGTGTTTGCTTTGGCCATCCAAGGGGAAGGGGTGGAGACAGAGAGACCGGGTACCCATTCACACCTTACAGATCCCAAACGGAAAGGACTGGTGCTGCAACACAACCTTTCTGAATCTCTCTCTTTTTAAAAGATATTTATAAGAACATCTATGAATGACCCACGGACATGAACAATGATGTAGGGATTGACTGTGGGGGTGGGGGTGGACTGAGCAGAGGAGGGCAAAGGGGGAAAATCGGGACAACTGTAATAGAATAAACAATAATAATAATTAAAGAAAGAGGCTAAGAATAAAAAAAGGTATTTTTATTATTTAGGTTTTCAAATTGGGGTATAACTTCTAAAAAGTATGCAAATCTTAACCACACACTTAATGTACACTTTGTATATACTCACTGTCAAGATCAAGATACAGAACATTTCCAGTACCTAGAGGCCTCCCTTACGCTGTCCCCAGTCAGAACCTCGGACAAGAATAGCCACTCTCATGACCCATATCATTGTAGATTAATGGTCTCTGGTTTTGAATTTCAAATGAACTGGGCCACTTCATATGTACTCTTTTTGTGTCTAACTTCTTTATTCTATATTATTGCATTAGGAACTTTTTATATTCAGTGACATTTTATTATACAGTTAATAATATATATGCTGGATATGTAATATACAGGTCATAAGGTACTATACATATCCCAAGGGTGTGGTGGGAAATTATTGATTGGAAAGGACAGAATGGAGAGGCTCGCTGTCAGTGTTAAGAAACAAGGAGTTCTAGAGCTTTTGGTGGCAGGGTGTGGGGAAGGGGTGGCAGGCACCATGACCTGCCTCAAAGGTGGCAAGAAGGTGGCAAAGGACCAAGAAGCAGGCCAAGGGGATGTACAAGGAAGATAAGGCATCAAGCAAAAGCAAAAAGAGGAGCAGAAGAAACTCAAGGAACTAAAAGTGAAGGCTGTAGGGAAGGAGCCCCTTGGCCATAGGTGGAAAGAACAAATCTGGCAAAAAGTGAGCTGTTCTTTGTGCCTGGAGCAATGGTGACCCTTAATTCCATTCTTGCTTTAAGATCTGGATTCCCTGTCATACTATCAGTTGCCCTGTATAGCTAGAATGAAGTGTTGTCTTGGAGCCTGTTGCTACATTTTAGAATTAACTTTTGTAAATAATAATAATAAAAAAAAGTAATCATGCAGTGGCTCATAGCTTTAGTTCCTCTCAGCCATTTCAATCTTAAGTATGAGGTAAGAGTAAACCAAGCCCAGAATCCTGCCAAACAGCAGATTTACCTAGAGATCTTTGTTGTATCCCAAATTCTGTATCACCTGGAATTGAATCAACTCACCTGAAAATGAAGAGAATAAGAGAGGGAGGAGGGAGGGAGAACAGACAAGCTCTAGAAAAGCAGGCCACAACTCCCACAGGCCTAAGCACCTATGTCTGCCAACAGGGGAGGTCTCCACCCCAGTGACAGGCAAGACCAAGGTCTGGTATAGACAGACAGACAGCTAATTTTATTTGTTAATTCAAGAAATATTTATTGAAAACCTGCCATGTGTCAAACATTGAGCTGGGTATTATGAATATATTAAAGAACAAGAGAGACAAGGTTTCTGTGCTTTTGGAGTATGGGGGTGGGAATGGCGTAAGGTCATAAATAAACAAGTTAATACAGTGTTAAATGGTATGCGGGAAGTAAACAGTGTGATGAGAAAGGGGACCGGGACGACAGGTTGCATGATGTGCACTTCAGTAAGCTGCAGGGCAATGACTTTGAGAAGAGACGGTTGAGCTGAGATGGGAAGGATACACAGGAACCAACCACCTGAAAGGATTCATGAGGGTAGACAAGACAGTGGGGCAGCAAGTGCAAAGGACCTGAGGCTGGAAAGCACCAGAGAGGAGACCTGGGTAGTTGGAGTGCAGTAAAGGAGAGGAAACATCAGAAGATGAGGCCAGAGAGGTTGACAAGGAGGCCTGTGTAAACTAGGGCAAAGGTTTGGATTTCATTTCAAGGACAGCGGGAGCTATCGGAGGGTTTTAAGGCAAGGGAATAGCATCTCATTCATATTTTTAAAACATCATTCTGGCTGCTGTGGATATAATGGATAACAGTAGCGTGAGCACTTGGGTGGGTGGGTGGTGAAGGCAAATGACTGATACAGAGAAGAATGATGTAAACAAAGTAAAAAGGGGATCCAGAGTCGGAAGCCCCGGGACATCCAGGTGAAAGAACTGAGTAGCCCAACTGGTCTGCAGACTTCAGCAAACAACAGAATCACCCAGAGCCCTTGTTAAAACACAAATCTCTAGGCCCTGGTCCCAGAGTTTCTGATTCAGGAGTACATGGATGGGCTCAAGAATTTGCTTTTGTAACAAGCACTGATGCTGCTGGTCTGGGGACTGAGTACTCTTTGAGAACCACTGAAAAAGGCAGTTGGACTCTGGCACCTGTTTCTAGCACATATTTAAATCTGTGGGAATGGTTGGGATCTCTCAGGGATTGAAAATGGAGATGGGCAGGGGTCCAAGGACAGCCCTAGGATGCTAACGTTTAGAGGTCAGGAGATGGAGGATGATTGAGAAGGGACAACCAGAGAGATAAGGGAAACATCAGGGGAGTGTGGCTGTAGGAAGCTGTGGGAGGCAGCCCTCATTCCTGGACTCTGTGTATATGTTACCGACATGGTAGAAGGGACTTGGAAGATGCAATCACAGTCACCGGCCTGATTTATCCAGGTGGGTCCAATTTAATCATATGAGGACAGCAGAGGACTTTCTCTGCCTAGAGTCAGAGAGAGATGGTACAGAAGAAGCAGCAGCAGGACTCCAACCATGAGGAGGATTCCGCGCTGCTGCTGACACTGAGGTGTGGGCCCCATGTGCAAGGATGGGAGAGAAGCCTCTGAGGGCTAAGGGTGGCTCCCGGCTGACAGCCAGGAAGGCCATGGGGACCTCAGGACTAGAGCTTCAAGGATCTGGATTTGTCAACAACCCGAATGAGTTTTGAAGTAGATTCTTTGCCAAAAGCCTCCAGTCGAGCTAATGCCTTCATTTGAGCAGAGAGACTGACGTCAGACTTCTAACCTACAGAACTGTGAGAAAATAAATACGTGTTGCTTTAAACAGCTAGGTTTGTGGTAATCTGTTGTGACAGTGGTAGAAAACAAATATAGAAGCCAAGAGAAGAGAGTATTTAGTGGTCGGAGAAGTCAGCTTCATCAAATGCTGACAAGGGTCCAGGAATTTGAGGACAAAAGGTGTCTGATGAATTTGGCAACAAGAACAGCCTCCGTGGCATGGAGCAGGGAAAAGTGGCTATATTGGAGTGGGTTGAACAGAAAAAGCAAATGAGAAAAAAAGAAGGTGGAAATAATGCATTGCGGGGTGGTGGGGGGGCTAAGCCTTCCAGCTGTAGGCCGTTTCTGCGGCCTCGCGCTCACCAGGGCGCTCCACCCACGTGACCCGCTGAACATTCCCGCCCCCATCACGTGCCCCACCACGCACGGCCTCACCACGTGCTGCACAGTGTTCTGCAAGCCCCCCCACCGCGTGCCCCATCGTGCTCTGCGCACACTTGTCACGTGCCTTGCCATGCCCTCCATGGCCTGAGAGCCGTTGGCTGCAGTTTGAACGAAACTATGGGCTCCCCCTCGCAGCCCCTGAACGGAATGCCCGGGTCCAGTGCAGAAGGCCAGGTATAAAGGAGCGGCCGGTTTGCAGCTTTTGGGAGTCTTCCGGCATCACCAGTACAGGGTGGGTGGCTGGGCTTGTCTGTGTGGCCATGGTGGGGAACGCCCGAACTCCTGGGGTCTGGCGAGGGGACGGCGCCCGAGGCCAGGTGGGGGCCCTGGCGTTGGCCAGTCAGGGTTGGAGTTGGGGTGCAGCCTGAGGGCTCTGAAGCCTGTGTTTTGTTCTCCACAAGTCTCCTTACCAGAGGTTAAGTCGGTGGATGCTGGACATTTCCGGGGACCGGGGTGTGCTGAAGGATGTCATCCGAGAGGGTGCTGGTGAGCTGGTGACACCGGATGCTTCCGTGCTAGGTACAGCCTGGGGGTCCCGGTGCCATCTCGCCTCGAGAAGCTGGGAATACGAGAGGAATGGCGGTTTCATGGCGCTTTCCTTTGAGGGGAGGCACTTTACGTTTTGTTAAAAAATTAGCATTTTTATGGGGTAGAACATTGTTTGTTAGAATTCAAATTTTTAAGGGACAACGAGGGGACCCCCATATCTCCCACTGTGAACAAGGGATATGCCAAAGCTCACAAGCCTATTTTCTGAACCTCAGAGCCAAAGGGCAGGCATCCGAACCCTAGGGAAAGATTTATTCCTGTCACTCGGGGAGTGGGGCGGTTCAAGGGCATCAACTCTATTGTTTTTGTGTGGTAATTAAAGAGATGTGACGTTATAGAGGTGAGGGTATTGGTCCATTTTTCTTTGTCTGTTTCCTCTGTCCTAGTGAAATATTCTGGATACCTGGAGCACATGGACAAGCCTTTTGATTCTAACTGCTTTAGAAGAACTCATCGGCTCATGAAGCTTGGAGAAGGTGAGTTCACATTAGGAGCTGGAAAAGAAAGGGTTGTGCAGGGAAATTAATGAGCGGCAATACCCTAGGATTGGAAAACTGTCCAGGACATAGACTCTTGGAGGTGGTTTTTCTGAGGCTGGGTTTTGCTAACCAGCCAGTTCCCTCCTCAAGAGCTAGGTCTTTGGGACATGTCCTACTGGCAAGGTTATCTTTACATCCTGGCTGAACCATTGGATATTGTGGGGTTTTTGTTTATTGAGTAAACATCTGTTGAATGCTTACTACCCACAATGCATGATGAAAAGAGAGAATGTACCCAGATGATTAGAACATCTCTGCCAGTGTGGTGGGGAAGATTGACTTGTGTTCAGACAACTAACCTGGTAGAATCAGATAAGTTCCTGGGAAGTACAAGGAGTGTTATAGGAGTACTTTATGAAGGAACAGTTAATTCCAGCTGGGAAGATCAGGGAAGGCTTCATGGAAGAGTGTGCATTTGAAATGAGTCCTGAAGTCTGAGTAAGATTTAAGTCAGGGCAGAAGCTGGGCATGAGGGGAGGAGGAAGATGTTGCAGGAAGAAAGAATTGTGTGAACAAAAATGTAAAGGCTAGAATGCTGCAGAACCTAGAGAAGTTAGAGTTGGAATGGTGATGGTAGTGGGAAACAAAGCTGAAAAGTGAGTTGGGACCACAATGCAGAAGACCTGGCATATCATGTGGAAATATCTAGACATAAAGAGAATAATTTGATAACATTGGAACAGGGTATTGGGCAAGCTTCAACCAAGTTTTTGTCCATTCTTCCAGATATTACACTTTGGGGCATGGAGTTGGGCATTCTGAGCATGCGGAGGGGAGAGCTGGCCAGGTTTCTGTTCAAACCAACCTATGCCTATGGAACGCTGGGCTGCCCACCCTTGATCCCCGCAAACAGCACCGTCTTATTTGAGATTGAGCTACTTGACTTCCTGGATTCTGCTGAATCAGACAAATTTTGTGCCCTGTCAGCTGTAAGTTCTGGAGCACAAATGTCAGCACGTCACTGAAAGAGGGTTGGGTTCATGTGTTTGGTAATTAATCATGCTCCGCTGCTGGTCCTCTGGCCCAGGCTCCACCCATGAGGCTCCTGTGTGGTGGCGGTGGTGTTCCCCACTTCCTAGTACTGTCCATCTTCATATTGGCTCTTGTGCGTGTGTAACTGTGCTAGGCCAAGGTCAGGCGGTGGATTTGGTATGGACGCCAACATTTTGAATTGATCTTTTAGTTGTCCTTTGCCTACTTCTCTGTACTAGACCGTGAATATTTGCTTCTCAACATTAAGTTTGATTTCCAGCAAGTCAAGCATTGGTAGCTTATAACTAGGGTGACCATATAATTTTTGTTCAGCCCAAGACACTTTAGAGTGAAAGGGATTATTAACTGGATAGGATACCAGGACATTAGATGTTAACTGGGATAATCCCAGGCAAAGAGGAACATAATGGTCTCTTTTCTCATAATTTGAGTGTTACCATTTCTTTATTGCCTTTACTTAACCCTTTGTATAAAGATAGGGCTTCTAATCTCAGTAGTATGCACTCTTTGTCATTCTATCTCACACTGACTGTATATGTGACCTTAGATACCCACCTCAGGATTATATCTGTATATGATGTTTACCCTGCTAAACTGTCAGCACCTCAAGTGAGGGATCTTATCTTTTTTCATCTTTACCCAAAACAAGAGTTTCTTGCAGATGCCTGAGTCACACCTCTGGTGTACTTAATTAAAATTTCTGGGGTCACTTTATTTTCCTTCTTGCTATATCGAATGGTATTTTTTTCTCTGATTTCTTCTTCTTCTATTGCATTGCCGGTGCAATAAAGTACCTAGGCATAAATTTAACCAAAGATGTAAAAGACCTGTATGCAGAAAACTATATAACATTGAAAAAAGAAATTAAGGAAGACACAAATAAATGGAAGCATATACTGTGCTCATGGATTGGAAGAATTAATATCATCAAAATGTCCATACTACCCAAAGCAATTTATAGATTCAATGCAATCCCTATTAAGATACCAATGACATATTTCACAGAAATAGAACAGACATTTCAAAAATTTATATGGAACCATAAACGACCCCTAATAGCCGCAGCAATTTTGAGAAAGAAACACAAAGTAGGAGGGATTACAATACCAGACATCAAACTCTACTACAAAGCCAATATACTCAAAACAATTTGGTACTGGCACAAGAACAGACCCATAGACCAGTGGAACAGAATAGAAAGCCCAGAAATAAGCCCAGGTCTCTATGGGCATCTAATATTTTACAAAGGGGACAGAAGCATAAAATGGAGCCATAATAGCCTCTTCAACAAATGGTGTTGGGAGAGCTGGATGGCTACATGCAAAAAATTGAAATTGGATCATCAGCTGACACCATACACAAAAATAAACTCAAGATGAATAAAAGACTTAAATATAAGTCACAACACCATCAAAGTCCTAGAGGAGAACATTGGCAGGAAACTCTCAGATATCCCACGCAGCAATTTTTTCACTGATATGTCTCCTAAAGCAAGGGACATAAAGGAAAGAATAAACAAGTGGGACCTCATCAAAATAAGAAGCTTCTGCACGGCTAAAGAAAACATCAGCAAAATGAAAAGGGAGCCAACCCTATGGGAAAATATATTCACTAATGATACATCAGACAGAGGTTTGATCTCCAAGATATATAAAGAACTCACTCGACTCCACTCCAAGAAGACAAACGATCCAGTCAAAAAATGGGCAAAGGACCTGGGCAGATGCTTTTCCAAGGAGGAGATAGAGAGGGCCCAGAGGCATTTGAAAGGATGCTCAGCATCACTAGCCATCAGAGAAATGCAGATCAAAACCACCATGAGGTATCACCTCACACTGGTCAGAATGGCCATCATAAACAGATCAACAAACAACAGGTGCTGGTGAGGCTGTGGAGGAAAGGGAACCCTAGTACACTGTTGGTGGGAATGCAGACTGGTACAGCCACTGTGGAAGGTGGTGTGGAGTTTCCTCAAAAAGCTGAAAATGGAACTGCCTTTTGATCCAGTGATTCCCCTGCTGGGACTATACCCTAAGAACACCAAAACGCCAATACAAAAGAACCTATGCACCCAAATGTTCATAGCAGCACAATTTACAATAGCCAAGTGTTGAAAGCAACCTAGATGCCCATCAGTAGATGATTGGATCAAAAAATTGTGGTACATATACACAATGGAATACTACGCAGCAGAAAGGAAAAAGGTACTAAACTTCGCAACAGCATGGATGGAACTGGAGAGCATTATGCTAAGCGAAATAAGCCAGGGGGCGAAAGACAAATACCATATGATCTCGCCTATAAGCGGAACCTAACCAACAATACAAAGATGCAAGGAAAATAAGACCAGCAACACTGAAAGGAAAAGAAATCAACAGAGACAAGAGGGAAGGAGGAAGGGGCGGGCAGGGAAAGGGAAGGGAAGGGGAAAGTCAAGGAACATATAGCAAGAACTCATGGACAAAACCAAAGGGGAAGAGCTGAGGGAGGGAAGGAGGGAGGGGGCAAGGGAAAGTGGTGGGGGGAAGGCAGAGACAAATGTATTTAAAAATAACTAAAGAAAGAAAAAATTTAAAAAATAAAATTTCTGGGGTCAGGGCAAGGGTGGGGGGAGGATAGTACATGTATGTAAAAAGAGGCTCTATGGGTGATTTTTTTTAATTGATTCTATAGAGAAGGGAGGGGAGGGGAGAGAGAGGGGGAGAGAAACATCAATTGGTTGCCTCTTGCATGTTCCCCAATAGGGGACCGAACCTGTAACCCAGGCATGTGCCCTTAGTGGGAATTGAACCTGTGACCTTTTACTTTGCAGGATGATGCCCAACCTACTGAGCCACACCAGCCAGGTTCTATGGGTGATTTTGACATGTACTCCAGGTAGTGCATTATAGCTACAAAGATCAGTACAGCCCTGGATGGACCAAGACCTGTTAAATTATGGTGAATAAATGGTCCTGATTTTTGTGCTTAACAAGTTCCATCAGTTTCTAATTCCATGGAAACTGCTGCTTTAGCAAACATCTCTAGGAGGACTGTAGAAGTAGATCTACCTTTGGCTATAGGCTATAAAGTGGGGACAGTGATAGCATCGAACTGCCATGGCTTCTGTTGGGATTCACAGAGATGACCTCTTCAGAGGCACATAGCCCAAAGCTTGGCACACATACATCAGTGAACAAAAGTGCATACTCTAAAGGAGAAAGACGGAACAGGTGTAACACTTGCATTGGGGTATTGTGGTTTTCAGTTTTTCTTGCTGGGTGTCCTTGTCTTTGGTCTTCAGGATCAACAAGATCGATTTCCACTTCAGAAGGTCCTAAAAGTGGCAGCTACTGAACGAGAGTTTGGCAACTACCTCTTCCGCCAAAATCGTTTCTACGATGCCAAAGTGAGATATAAACGGGTAAGAATGCTTAAGAAGTATGTTTAGACCCTGAAATAGTCTTTGTTTGAAAGAAATAGACCTTGTCTCTTTCCCTACTATTTATATACAGCCATTAAAAAAAAATCTCATTAAACCTCTTCATGCTAGATAGCTGCAAGAGGGGCAAGGTATTTGGGGGAGCCTGGTGTTCTGTGTCTGGTACTTGATGCCGATTACATGGGCGTGTTCAGGTTATGAAAATTCATTGAGCTGTACACTTATTTTTGTACTTAATGTGTATGTATTTCAGTAAAAAGGTTTTTAAAATTCTCATCTTAGTGTTAGCTTCTCTACTGATTTTTCCACCCCTTTGTAAAGTTTGCCATCTTCATTTCCTATCTGACAGAGACTCATCAAACTGAGCTGACTCCCTTCTACTAGCCTTCTGATTGTGATCTGTCCTCTTGTGTAGGTTATGCTGACAGGAATTCACTGTGCTCTGTAGCTCAGTAAATATTTTGAGCACTTCGTGAAAAACCAGACAGAGTTTAGAGTCTAGGGGTAGTCTGATTTTACATCTCATTTGCATTCTGAGCCTAAATCAGTCCAGATTTGCACTCAACTGCAAGCAATAAAACCCTGAAAAACTGGCCTTTAAGTAAACTAGGTATTTAATTTGTTCTCACATAAAAAGGGAAGCATTCCAAGGCTGCGTGGCAGTTCCATGAAGCCACCAGGTATCCAGGTTCCTTCTTTCTGCTCCACTACCCTTAAATGTGACCTTGTTTTTCCCCCTCCATAGTGGGGGGGTCATTCAGCTTGTAGCATCACATGATTATGTGGGCAGAAAGAAGAAAGGGGAGAAGAGTTCGGTGTGTGTATTACTTCCTGTTTATATTTCATTGAGCATGTTAAATGTACACCCTTAACTGTATAGGAAGCTGGAAAATGTACTTTTTAAATTAATACATTGCTGTTTTAAATGAAATGGAAGTAATTAGGAGACAGGGAGGGGAGTAGATACTGGGTAAGCAGCTAACAGTATCTGCCCCATTTGGCTTATATGAATATGCTGCAGAGAAAAGAGGAGAGCATTCTGATAAAATCAGGTTCTTAACTTGGATAGTACAGATTTTGGCTCACAATTAGGTTGTATCATGGATACTATTTGTTTCTTGAGAGCCTGTTTACTTAAAAAACATTTTTTCTTGTTAAAAACAGGCCAATTTTTCCATCACTTATTTCCTAGGTCTAATTTCATGAGCAGTCACTTTTTAACTATATCTGCTGTTTTTCTGGTATTCTGAATTTATAAATGATGTGCTTTAGTTGCTCTTTTTGACATTTTCGATTTCTCATTATAGCAAGTGAGGCTTTAGTTCTTGCTTCTGCTTTCCCAGTATTTTAAAAATCAGTATTCAGTCTTACATAATTGAGATTATATAATGTTATACCTGCTGAGCCAAGCTCTTCACCATGCCTAACTTGTGCAACAGCCCCCATCTGCCCCTTGAATTGCCTCTTTTTTGCCTTGTTTTCTGTATACCTACTACTGTTTTTTCCTAATTCTCACAGCAATAGAAAGCCTCTTTCAGTGCTGCTTTCCATGTGATCATGCCTCTCACTGTCCAGCAGTTCATATTTTCTCAGGATGTCCCCAGTGGAACTCCACGTCAAACTGAAGCTCTTTGGGCCTGCTGCACAGCCCTTGTCCCAGGGCTGCCCTGAGATTGGTGGATTTCCTGTTGTTTTTCTTAGTTTACTCCCTTGTTTTGATAGAGTACATCTTTGCATATCTAAAAATATTCTTAGGAGGTTTGTCCAGAAGGTATCCAGCCATGTAATTTTCTTTTTTTAAAGAGAAACATTTATTGAAGAAGATACAAGATACAAGAAACATTGTACATAGGACAATAACACTTTGGTCCCCTTCACACAGTTCCCCTAATCACCATCAGCTGCCCCATCATATTTTCCTGAATCTCATCAGTGCTCTGAAATCTTGCCCCTTTCAAAGGTGATTTTAGTTTTGGGAAAAGCTAGAAGTCATGGGGTGCCAAATTTGGGCTGTTGTGGGCCTGAGTCACCTGGGTGATTTGATGTTTCGCCAAAATACTCTGCATGAGATGTAATGCATGAGTGGGCACACTGTCATGATGAAGCTGCCAATCACCAGTTGCCCATAGCTGTGGCCTTCTGAATTATCTGAATAGTTTCCATGGAGGAATGTTCAAACTTAATGCAAAATTTGATGCAAATGTGGTGTTCTACTCAGTCATTTTGAATGAAACGGCTACAGAGTACACATGCTCACTCAATGGCATCTACTGACATCACTGACTAGTACAGTGAAGTCACCATTGTTCATGCATGTGCATTCCAGTCCACTCTCCTTGGCTGCTCGAACTTGCACAAACTGTTCTTGTTATATTAACAATAGCTGGGCTTTTTTCCAGACAGATCTCATATAGTTTATACTTCACACATAACACGTAACATAACTGAGGATAGAATTCTAGGATGCAGAATGTCACCGTTCCTCAGATTTTGAAGAATATTGTTCCATTTTTTAGACTTGTCTGATACCAGTTAGGTTCCTATTCCTTTATATGCAACTAATTTGTTTTTCTTACAGAGATTTAAGGATCTTTTCCCCTGTGTTATTTTTAAATTTTAAAGTGATGTGCTTAAGTGTGCCTGTGTTTGTATTCTTAAATTTTTTATATTGAGCTTTTGGCGTATCACTTTACTCAGAAATTTGTCCTCAGCTCTGGGAAACTTTTGAGCTCTTGCTTTGATAATTTATTCTTGTTTTTATCATCTCTCATTTCCTGGAACTTCTTGTTAATTGACTATATGACTTCTGGACTGAGCTTCTAGATTTCCTTTTTTATTTTCTTTCTCCCAATTTCTATCTTTTCTCCTTTTTATTCCATTGTCTGGGAGCTTTTCTTGACTTTATTTACCCTTTCTTCTAGTAAGTTCTTCATTTTCTTAACTTTCAAGAGCTCTTAATTTTTCCAGCATTTGTTTTTGTTTCATGCATATAATCTTCTCATCTCTTTAGACTATTGATTGTAATTTTCAAGGTGTTTTTTTTTCCATCTTCTGTTTGCATCTGAATTTTTCTTAAAACCTCAGTTCTTTTTCTATTTGTTGGGTTTTCTGTCCATCAGAGACTGTCCATTTGCATTAGGTTTGGCTGCAAGTCACAGAGACTCATAATAAGTGACCAAAGGATAGATATTCCTTACTCATGTGAAAGGAGGGCTTCTTAGTCGCTATGCTCCACAGCGTTCTCAGGTTCCCAAGCTTCTTCCATATCACCGTCTCCCCATTTCTAGGGGCTCTGGGCCTTGTGGTCCAGGGTGATGGCCTCTAAGTTCTAGGCAGTAGGAGGGAAATGAGGGCTTTGGGTATATACCTATGACACTTTCACTAAATTGTTTTCCAGGACCTATTCTCCTGGCCATAACCAGATATAAGGAAGGCTAGCAAATATCTATATTCTGGCTGTACATGTTCCCAGAAAAAAATCCTATTGCTATGGAAAAGAGAGAACAGCCTCTGGGAGATAGGAGGCCACCTCTCCCCCTCTCCCACAGAGGCTTTCCCCAAATGTTTGGTGATCTTTGGCTGTCCATTATGATTTGAAAGAGGCATCAAAAGCTGACTGGAAACTCCCAAGTCTTTGGTGGGGTAGATTGCATTTTGATCGGATGGACTCCCACATACATACCAGTGTGCAGGCATTTTCTCTGGGGACATTTAGTTCTCTATCTTCTGCCCATTGTAAATGCCTAGTTACCAGTGTAGTAAGAACTGAACAGGGAAACAGGACAGAATTTTTTACTGGTTATTATTGAGACTGTCCTCTAATACTCCTGTTAACCATTATACCTTCCTCCGCTTTGTATGTTCTCCCTGAATCAAGAGCCTCTTCAGTTCCATTTCTCTAGAAAATAGACCTGATTCCTGAGGGAGTAGGAAGGGGTTGGGCATCTGGACCCATAGGGACAGGGAGTGGGAGGAAACGGTCAATGTGTCGTCCTTTATCCACCCCACTTCTACACTCTGATGGCCGTGATTCCTAGTTCTGCTTGCTCCCAGGGCTCTCAGGGCTCTGAAACGCAGACCAGACCCTTATATATTGGTTCTCCTCTCTGCCAAGTCAGTCACAACACTGCCATCCATTCTTGACACATTGGGTTTGTCACTGATCCTCTTCCTGTTCTTTGTTTTTTTGTACTCTTCCTTTCTACTGCTTAGGCAGGAGAGCAGACGATGTGTGACATCATCCTCACTCAGCCAGAGGCTTTGCATACCTGTTTCTCTTATAAATCTTCTCAGTCTTTAGAGCAGCAGCATTTATTAGCGCCACTGTGTTTTCAGTCTTTTGCTCAGCCTTGTGTGGGACACACTGATATATCAGGCAGGGTCCTTGCTCTTGAATTTTACCTGGCTATGGTACCTAGTACTAGAATATCTGGTATTGGCTTCTTGGAAGAAATGATGCTTTAGCTGAGTCTAGAGGATGAAATGGCAGGGAAAATAGGGACAGGGTAAACTCTGGACAAGAGAAAAGTATGAGCAAAGATACAGAAGCAAAGAGACTATTCAGGGGTCAGTTGGTGGATACCTAGCCTCTAAAACACAGGCTACATTTGAAAAATAACAGGGAAATAGAGACAAGGAATCAGATTCAGGAAGATGCTTAAATGTATAGAGATATGTATAAATGAGGAAGAGAATGGAAGGGATCCATTGGGGAAGAGTGAATTGATAAAAATAATATTTGGGAAAGAGGCAATGATTAGTAGTATGCCGGTAATGATGTGCTGGAGCTCACAAGAACCAATTATAAAGTTTTTGCAAACTTGAATCAGCCATGGTGGGAATAATTACACCACAGGAATAGGTAAACACTAGGGGGCTCCTCCTGCTAAGTGAGCTGGTTGTTAAAAACTTAGAAGCACACCACTCTATGTTGAAGGGACAGACTTTCATTAATGAATATTTGTTCCATGTTAGGCAATGAACTAGGCATTTTACAGCTAACCCTGTTACAGGTATCCAGGAATATGTTTAAGGAAGTGTGAATTGTACAAATAAAGAAAAAGTTCTAGAAATGTACTTTTAAAAAATGAATTATTAAACTTGAAGTTTTATATGTAAGTGATGAAGGAAATAAAGAATGTTATTACTTAAAGCTTTCTGGCCTGAGAAATACCTAAAACAAGAATACCTAGGAAAGAAGAGATTTGTTAACTTCAGTTTTGACCACTTATAAGAATAGCCAGGTAAAGGTGGCCTGTAGGAGACTGTTTCTAGGTGACAAATTTAGGTATGGGGCCAGAGTTCAGGTGAGCAATCCAGGTTGGTGGTATGAAGGTAGGAGAGCAGTGGCCAGTAACTTGTGTAATGAATGACCAGGACTTAGAAAAGGGAAGGCAAAGGAAGACTTGTGGCTTTCTACCTAAAACACCATCTTCTCTGACGTAGTATGCATTTCTTCATTCTGCTAGCATGTTCCAATGGAGTCTTCTCTGTTAGTCACACTGGACGCTATTCAGGTTTTGCCTTCATCACTTTTTTCTTTACTATTGTTGTGATATAGTTCACATACCATTCAATTCACCCTTATGAAGTGTATAGTTCATTGATTTTTTAATATAGTCACAAAGTTGTGCAACTATCATCACTATCTAATTCCAGAACATGCCATCACCCCAAAAAGAAGCCCCGTACCTGTTAGCAGTTAACCATTCTTCCCACACCCCTTGGTAACCCTATTTTACTTTTTATTTCTATGGATTTGCCTATTCTGGGCATTACCTGAAAAATGGAGTCCTTGAATATATTGTCCTTTGTGTCTGGCTTGCTTAGCAAAATGTTTTCAAGATTCATCTATGTTGTAGCATATGTGAGTATTTTATTCCTTTTAAAAATAATTATTTCATTTTTAAACTGTACTTACCAATTTCATCATTTTTAGGTGTATAATCCAATGGCATTAAGTACATTCACAAAGTTGTGCAACCATCTGCACTACCCATTTCCAAAACTTTTCCATCGTCCCAAAGGGAAATTCTCGACCCATTAAGCAATAACTCCCATTCCCACTTCTCCCTTCCCCCAAACCCCTGGTAACCTCTATTCTACTTTATGTCTCTATGATTTTTCCAGTTAGGGATACTCATAAGTGGAATCATACAATATTCTTTTGTTACTGGCTTCTTTCACTTAGCATAATGTTTTCAAGGTTCATCGATGTTGTAGCATACATTGATGAACCAAACATCATTCCTTTTTAAAGCTGAATATTCTATTGTATATAAACCCTACCAACTTTTGTTTGTCCTTTCATTAATTGGTAAACATTCAGGTTGTTTCCACTTTTTGGTTATTATGAATAATGTTGCTATGGACATTTGCATACAGGTTTCTGTTTAGACTTATGGGTTGTTTTTTGTTTTAAAGATCTTATTTTCAGACAGAGGGGAAGGGAGGGAGGAAGAAAGGGAGAGAAACATCAACATGTCGTTGCCTCTCATGCATCCCCTACTGGGGACTTGGCCCACAACCCAGGCATGTGCCCCGTCTGAGAATCGAACCAGTGACCCTTTGGTTTGCAGGCCAGCACTCAATCTACCTAGCCACACCAGCCAGGGCTAGATTTATGTTTTCATTTTTCTTGGATATGTACCTAGGAGTGCAGTTGCTGGGTCATATGGTAAATCTGTGTTTAACTTTTTGAAAAACTGCTGTACTATTTTCATTAGTGGCTACAACATTTCACGTTCCCACCAATAATACAAGGGCTTCTTATCAACACTTATTTTCCATTTGTAAAATTACAGCCTCATCACAGCAGCACATATACTAAAATTGGAACAATAGACAAGATTAACATAGCCCTTACACAAGGATGACCCACAGATTAGTGAAGCTTCCATATTTTATGCAGTGCCCCAGCGGGCCTCCTCGCACCCTTTGATCAGCTTGGAAGAAATACAAGTCAAAGCATAATGTGTATACTTAATAGCGAAATCATGACTTTTCACTATTAAAATATATATATATATTTTATACAGGTTCCTACAGAAGTAATGTCTGTTTGAGTGGTTGGTAGGATAATAATATGAGTGTAATTTATAGTTTTAATTTGAACACATCACTTAAAATGTCATATGGTATATCTGAGTGTGATAGTGTTATGTTATAGAATCGCATGCTTATGATTTTGTAATAAAAGATTTTGTAATAAGAAGGGGTGTTATTTGCGCCAGACCCTTTTTATATATCGCCTTCCTAGTGGGCATAGAGAGGCATCTCATTATGATTTTGACTTGCATTTCCCTGATGATTAATGATGTTGAATATTTTTCATGTGCCTATTGGCCATTTGTATATCTTCTTTGGAGAAATATCTATTCAACTCTTTGCCCATTTTTTAATTGGGTTGTCTTTTTTATTGTTGAGTTGTAAAAGTTCTTTATATATCTTGGATACTAAGCCTTTATCAAATATGATTTGCAGATACTTTCTTCCAATCTGTAGATTATTTAACTCTTTTTATCTTTTCAGGAATGTATGACTTTTTATTAAAAACCACAAAATAAATTATTTGCAGGCATAGATAATGATAGTAGGAAACCATTATATGTTGTCAGCTTAAACCAGTAACTGAGGATTATAGTGATTTTTCTTAAACATCAGCCAGCCTCTTCATTTTCTTCATTCACTTTTTTGATAGTGTCCTTGGAAGCACAAAAGTTTTTAATTTTGATGAAGTCCAATTTATATATTTATTCTTTGGTTATTCTTTTAGTGTCATATCTAAAAAACCATTGTCTAATCTAAGATTATAAAGGTTTACATCTATACTTTCTCTTAAGAGTCTTACAGTTGTAGTTCCTACATTTAGGTCTGTGGTCCATTTTGAGTTAATTTTTGTACCTAGTGTGAGGTAGGAATCCAGCTTCATTCTTTTACATGGTGCTATCCAGTCATCTCAGCACCATTTATTGAAAAGGCCACTTTCCTCCATTGAATGGTGTTGGCACCCTGTTGAAAATCAGTTGACTATAGATATATAGGTTTGTTTTTCTGGACTTTCAGTCTGCACTGTCAGTTCTGCTCCGTTGATCTGTGTCTCTGTCCTTATGCTAGTACCACACTGGCTTGGTTACTTTCGTTTTGTAATAAGTTTTGAAATTAGAAAGTTTTTCTAATTTCAACTTGCAATTTGAAGTTAGAAGGGTGAGTTTTCCACCTCCCTTTTCAATATTGTTTTGCTATTCAGGTTACCTCAAAGTTTTATATGAATTTTTGGATCAACTTGACCATTTCCGGAAAAAAAAAAAAAAAACCTGCTGAAATTTTGGTATGGTTGCATTAAAATCTGTAGTCCAATTTGGGAATACTGCCATCTTACCAATATTAAGTCTTCTGATCCATGAAGATGAGTTGCCTTTCCAATTCTTTGAGTCATCTTTCATTTCCTCCAACAGTGTTTTGTAGTTTTCATTGTACAAAACTTGCACTTTGAAGTTATTGCTACTTATTTTATTTTTTTGATACTGTAAGTTGAGTTGTTTATTGGTAGAGTGTAGAAATATAACTAACTCGTATATTGATCTTATGTTTTGAAACTTTGCAGAACTAGTATTTTAGCTTTAAGGGTATGTGGGAGGGAGGGAAATCCTAGGGTTTTCTATGTATAAGATTATGTCACTCCTCTTGACCACCTGTCTTTCCTCTCCACAGGCCTTGTTGCTTCTCCGCAGGCGCTCAGCACCCCCTGAAGAGCAGCACCTGGTGGAAGCTGCCAAGCTTCTTGTTCTCCTTAACCTCTCCTTTACATACTTGAAACTGGAACAGCCCACCAGGGCTCTGCACTATGGAGAGCAGGCTCTGATTATTGACCAAAAGAATGCCAAAGCCCTCTTCCGGTGCGGACAGGTGAGTTGATGGTGACTTGGGAACGAACACCTAAGAAAAGTTGGCAGTGGTGTTGAACTTGGGCACCGCAAAAATGCTTTCTCCTAAGTATGCTTTTAAAATTCTGTCCTTGGACAGGCCTGTCTCCTCATGACTGAGTATCAGAAGGCTCGGGATTTTCTAGTCCGAGCCCAAAAGGAACAGCCCTTCAACCATGACATCAATAACGAGCTGAAGAAACTGGCCAGGTGAGGTCTGTGTTTGCACTTCTGTTGAGGAAATGTGGGATGCACCTACACTTCTGTTCTCGCCACCTGAGTATGTCCTCCAGCACATGTTATGAGGCAGCGCCCCCTAGAGCTAGTTTTATGAAGTGCTCAGTACCCTAAACCAGCAGCTCCCAGTGGCAGGGGGAGGGGCACGACAAACCTCTAAACTACACCTGTCTGGATCATTTTCCACCTCCTTATTTCATCCCTCCCCTTGAAAATAAGCACCCCCAAAGAGGAGGGCTAATGTAATTTTTCAAAAGGGATTGGGTTTCTATTTGCTGCCAACGGAGAACCACTGTTCTCAACTGACTGCAGAAAGGCGCCTTATAGACCCTGGTTTGGTCTGAAATTGATGTTTCAGGTCTGATTCATACCCACAGGGTGACTTTCTCATTAAACAAGTGATATATGTACTTGTGTCAGTCTTTCAGAAATATAACTTTTTATGATTGTAGAAGTTTCATGCTCATTGTAGAAAACTTTGAAAATATCAATATATAAATAGAAATCACCCATAATTCCATCATCTCATAATATATCTATTGTTTAAGGGTTTTTCTTTATTCTTCTCTACTGGTGAACTTCTCTACTCCTGTTAACATTAAATATTTAACCAAATTGCTTAGTTAAAGCTTTCTTGACATTAAAAATATCTGGAGTGCCCTGGCTGGTGTGGCTCAGTGGATTGAGCACTGACCTGTGAACCAAAGTGTTGCTGGTTTGATTCCCAGTCAGGTCACATGCCTGGGTTGCAGGCCAGGTCCTCATTGGGGAGTGCGTGAGAAGCAAGCACATATTGATGTTTCTCTCCCTCTCTTTCTCCCTCCTTTCGCCTCTATCTAAAAATAAATAAAATATTTTTTTTAAAATGTCTGAAGCTAGGCATGCCTTCTATATTTAGATCAAGTTGCATTTTGAGCCTTTTATTTATAAGTACAGGTTAGATGTAGAAATTTTGGAATCTAATCATTCTTTATCAAGAAAATGTCAAGATAAGTTAATGGCTATTGAATGTGAGGTATCCTTTGACAAGACCCCCCCGGAAGCTTCACTGACAGTGGCTTCTGACATTCAGGCAGCCATCTTTTCAGAAATGGTGAGCTTTTTGTCCAAGGGCTTCTTTAACAACTCATGGGAACCTCTGCTTGTCTCCCTTACCTCTCCAGCATTGCTTCCACTCCCTCCTAATTCAGTGAATTAGAGTGGAGAATTCCAGCCACCAGATGTCACCTCCTACAAAGACAGATCTTCTCTAACTACTGTGTATTTCCCTTTACAGCTATTACAGGGACTACACAGATAAAGAGAAAGAAATGTGCCATCGAATGTTTGCTCCTTATGATAACAGTGCTACAGTAGGAGAAAATTAAAGGTAATCAAAGAACTAAAGCATAAAAGTCTTCAGGATTTTGTCAAGCATATATAAAAATGTGGTTGTTCTTCTTGGCCCACCAGTGGGTACTGACTGTCTCCAGTTGAGGATGGAGGGGAGGAGTAAGAGAATTCACATCGAAGCTAATGATACAAGTCTAGTGCAGGATGCCCACTGTGGGCCTTCTCATAGAGAAGATCATAGAAAAGATTGAAAAGTCCATGAAGAGCTGCTGGGTAAATTTATAGGTCTACAAAGCCTTAGGCTTTAAAATGAAAATATATTTTTTTTCGTATTTTATGTTAACCTCTCCCTCACAGTAGCTTAGAACATGAAACTCTGATAATCATTAATGTGATGGTTTATCTGAGCTTTGAAATGAATAGTAATGCTTCTCTTATCTGGTTTCTCCTGAAGGCCTCCAACTTCACTTTATACCTAACACATTATTAAAGAAGACAAAATTCAGATGTCGGCGGGGAGGGATGGGCAGTGACTCTCAAGTTCTGCTTACTAGTAGAATTAGAGGTGGGAAGACTTTAGAATCAACAGAGAGCAGAAGCTGTCATTCCTGCCACAGTATACACCTTGTGATTTAGCAGGCGCAGGGTTAAGGTTTCCCATGAGTACAGGAGATAACTCTCTAGTCTGGTTTACTATTACTTAAGAAAATTAATGGAAACAAAATCACCTGCCTTAAACACCTGCTTAGCTGGGTAGATAACTCTGCTCTCTGGAGAGAAGTTAAACAAGGGACAACAAGAAAACAGCTGCCCAATGGGCTCCTGGTGATAAATCTCTCCTTTGTTGCTACCTACATCCCTCTACAAAAGAGGCTTGAGAGAGGAAGGCAGTGAAAAGGCCTATTCATCCCAGACATTTTCACAGGTGATCTACAGACTGCTGCTGTCTGCTGTCAGAAACAACCTGCCAGTATCAGAAGTAAATGTAGCCTCCATCACTGACCCCGACCCTGTGACCCTGGCCTTCAGGTCTTTCAGGGACATAGAGTATTTGAACTGAGATGTGAGCCAGAGGACTTATTTGGCTGCTATTAATGTCCAGTACAATTGGAGGCCTGGTGGCTTTTTGCCAGACATTTTAGACTGTGACCTGATAAATCCTGCCATTTAATGAATATCCAGTTCTTCCAGGGTCTGTCCTAGAAACAGATCTTGGAAAACCCATCAGGGCAACAAGTTCCCCTTCCACCACCTTTAACTCCCAGCTTTCTCAGTCTGTCAGATTTTTTGGAGCCTAATGATTTTTAGATGGTTTCCCATTATTTCTAAATCTTGAGTGTTTGTCTTATCACAGGAATCACTGTATTGGGGTCTAAAGTGGCCATGATTGTCGTACTCCTGTGCTGTTGCAGTTGTAACATATTTCGGCTTTTGTGTCTTTGGTATTCTCCCTGCTCCCCTTTTTCTTCTGTTGTACTTGTTCTGAGTTAGTCACTTAAAATGTCCAGGTTTTAAGTTCTTTTAACAACCTAGTTTTGACTACGTAGGACCATTTAAAATATATTTTTCTCAGATGTTAGATACTCCTGACTTGTCTTCTTCTTGTCTTCTAAGATGTTAGACACTTACTTCTGGTGGGATGAGTGTTCTAAGCCTCCGACTGTAGGAGGCTGAATTCTTTGAGATCAAAGTCCATGCCTTTTTCATCTTTGTATTTTCTGGCATCTGGAACCATGCCTGGCACATAATTAGTGCTCAGTAAATGTTGGTTGGATCAAGTGTAAAATAGCCGAAATGCTAGACCAGTCTCTTTGAAACCATACCCTCCAGGCTGGCTCTTGTATTGGCTGTCAGGACTGTTGTTAGTGCCAGTGAGAGAAACCCATCTTTATCTAACGTCAGCTAAAAGAGAGATTTACAGAAGGGATCCTGGGGTAGCTCACTGAATCAAAGGAGACACTGAACAATCAGCAGTCGGGTACCTGCAGTTCTGAAGGCCTCGGGGTCTTGGTCTCATTGCTGCTTTATAACTCTCCCACTATAAGGAGTGCCCCAGCATCCATTTGCACAGCCTTTCTATATGAGAGAGGGTTCTTCCTTATCTGACATCTCCCTCCTCTTCCTTGTACCAAGCATAGCTCTAATTTGAAAAACCCTAAGGCAGGAATCTGGCCTGGTTTGGGGTACGTGGAGTCCATGAGTGGCACCCTTCCTAGCGCCATGAATTAGGAACTAGAGGACTAGTGATTATACAAAGTAAGAAGGCTGCTGTTCCCCAAAAGCAAGGGGATGGAGACAATGAGCAAACAGAAAGGCCCATCAAAAGGTATTTTGCTGTTGCAACCACTCACTGTTCTGCTGAGTTGTGACCTTTAGTCTTGTTATGACAGAGCTGTGGGCCATCTGCTAATTTGGTGAATTAAGACTCTCTTGCAGCTCCTGCTGCCAGGAGCTCAATGGTGGGAAAAGCAAATACATTCATAGTTCTGCCACACCGTCTTTTTCATTAGTGTGGATTTTCAGAGGGCATGACAGAAACACGTACCTCTGGACGAGAGTATTCTTGGGGATAATCTGAAAATTCACTGCGGAGATCAATGTTTTTACTCATGTACATCTGCAGACCTAAAGACTTATAGCTAATATGTGATAAGCTTCTTTGAAACTACTTTCCCTGTGGTTTAAGATGCAGTGGAAGCAGTATTCTTGTGCTTGTATATACTACATTCAAACTTTCATAAATGGACATTTTCTAACTACCTACTTGGTTAAGACCTCCCATAGCTCCATACATGGTAGTAGCGATTTTACCAGGGGCACCAAAGAACTTTTATAACAAATGCCGTCATGGTTTGAAACACTTAGAATAGTGTTCTAACATTTTTGTTAATTCTGTTTTCATACCATTCGTTGTATTCTTTGGTTAGAGTTTAAGTTATGTCCTTCTTATCCTAACCTGCTAGTATTTGAGGCCCTTGCCATACTTTGTGTCTGGAAAAGAGATGTGAAGTGAGTGCTATAGCTATTCTCCACTATTTAAATGGTTAACATACACCAGGTGATTTTATTCTGTGGTTTCTAACAAGTGGACATAATAGGAAGATAAAACTTGGCTTGATATGAAAGATTAAGTAATTGCCCTACCATAGGTGACATTAAGCTCTTCCAACATGGGGAGCACACACAGAAAAGTGCCACTGTTAACTGCTTTTTTAGAATAGCCTGGTGTGGAGCTTCCGCTCCCAGGCCACACTTTTCTACTGTGTGAGTCGTCTTGGGAGCTAGTGCATTTCCTGTTATGGTCTGTCTGAGCAGACCTAGAGGGCCTCTTGGAGGTGGAAAAGGGACTCATGAAATTAGATGATTTTTCTGGGCCTTCCAATTCTAATGTTTTACCATCAGGCACTTGCAAACTTATAGAAGGTGACAGCTTCCATCCTTAAAGCACTTTTAGTGAAGATGGAATACGAAGTCCTGCAGTCAGTATCAGAAAAACTACACAAAGACAGGAAGTGGGAGAGACCTGGTTCTGTTCAAGAGCAAAGATGTTTTCTATTGCTTCAGAATGTACCAAATGTTAGGCATGGCTGCCAAAGAAAACAGCATTCTAAATGAGGGAAGAAAAGGGTCCCACTGCACCACTACCAACAGCCTCCCTTCATTACTCACCCCTTCCCCAAGCAGCTTTTGAGAACTAATGGGTTTTCAGGCACTGTGGTAGGTGCTTTGCGGCAAGGGAGGAGAAATCCAGTCCTGCTCCTGCAGTACTGGTCCGCAGGGGTGGCGCTCGACAGGGATGGCAGGACAAATCAGTTGAACCACAGAGTACACAAAAAGAGTGTTACATGCCATGAAGGAAACATCCTGATTAGAGAAAAGCTTTGCTGAGATGATCCTGAAGCTTCGAAGGGCAGCACTGGGCACAAGGAGGGGGGAGAGGGGAGAGGGGTGAACAGAGAAGACAAGGAATTCAGTACTGGGGTCAGCTGTGGGCCAGGTATTGTCCTGGTATTTCAGTCTTCTTTGGAGTGTGGGCTGTGTTCTGTAGCATCAGAGGAGGAGAAAGATGTGATTGGAGCCAAGATGACCCGACAGGCTCGTGTAGGAAGGGGCCAAAGAGGCATGGTGGAGGGCACATTGGGGTGCCAGGTCTGGCAAGTAGATGATGTCTGAGAGGTGATAATAGCCTGAAGTTAAATGTGCCTGCAGAAATGGAAAGGAGACAGGAGCATGAGGCCTACCCTCTGGAATGGATGGAGGGTGCTTTCAGTCAAATAATTCAAGTGGCACATTAGAACTTAGCTAATAGAGGCTGACCATAATGCCAACGGGTGTACAAGATGACCTGTGGGCAATGGTAGAAGGAACTAAAGCTATTTATTCTGCAGAAGAGAAGCTTTAAGTGGTATGTGTTAGTCATGTGCCAATGGAAAGAAGTGGCTTGGAGTGGAGAGGATGCAGAATAAGGAGTTAGGGATGGTTACTGTGTACCAGGAGTGATAGAGAAGTCTTCCTGGAGGAGAAGGCACAACTTGAGTTCACGAGGCTAATTGGTAGGGGACTCACCCACATATGGTCATCTTACCTAGACAGAGTTGTAATGATTTTGCTCTTGGTTTGTCATATTTTATGTTCTTCTAGAGCATTTCTTACAATTTATTCATTTAATTTTTATCCAAAAATTTATTAAACCTATTTTTTAATATATGCCAGGATTTTACATGTTGTACGTGGATAGTTTTTAATATAATCTCTTTATAATATAGATATTATCTCCATTTTATAGATGATGAATTAGACATTAAGATGCTAAGTAACTTGCCAATGTTACAAAGCTAGTAAGTGAGAGAGTCAGGAATTCCAACCCTGGCAGTCTGGCCCAGAACCAACAAGTTGAAAAAACAATCCATACAAAAGGGTTCATCAGAAGAAATCAATTTTAACTTCTGCACCTTCTGGGGATTCTTCCATGTAGCTGGATATCTCATTCCATATAGCCAGATATCCTGCTTGTATTGATATTTCTTGATTTTTA